TATTAAATGTTTTTGAAATATTTTGAGATTTGACGGAGCAGGGTGTATTTGTTATTTATCCTTTTATTATAGATATGTCTGTTGTTTGTGTTTGTTTTTAGAGTGTGTCAGGATGGATCCCTTGTCCTTTTTTCTGCAAACAAAATCTACCTACGGGTACAAATAAAGAACCTGAACCTGAAGGTTTTTCATCTTCTGTCTAATGTTATGTTGGTGTCTCGTTTCGGTCATAACGCCATTTGCTGGTTTCAGAATGATCTAACCGACCGTACTCAATGCGTCAGGTGGGGTAGTACTGTCTCTGAGCCTTTCACCTTGGAGAAGGGAGTTCCACAGGGCTCTAATTTGGGGCCCTTGCTCTTTTTATTATACGTAAACAATATTTGTAATCAGATGCAATTTTCTCTATCATATTTATGCTGATGGCACTATTGTATACTCATGTGCTCCTTCTCTGGATATGGCCGTTTCCAATTTAAAATCTGATTGTATTGTTAGGACGGGTGGCGCAGTGGTCTTTGCATCCGATCATCAGATCAAGGGGGAGTGTTGGGGAACTCCAGTTCGAAACCAGCTCCTGCCGCCACTGCGTCAGGCCGTTGTGTCCTTGGGCAAGACACTTCACCCGGATTTGCTCCTGTGGGTATTGTCCACAGAACATCTATAATACCAATGTGTACCTGTAAAAGCGCCTCGATGTCTTCGAGGCGTGAAGATGGACGGTGTGGCGCAGTGCGCTGTGCAATGATCATCAGATCAAGGGGTGAAACCCGCCGCTGCTGCTTCTGTAAAGCCGGTGTGTCCTTGGGCAAGACACTTCACCTGAACTTGCTCATGTGGGTATTGTCCACAGTATCTGACCATTGCATGTATCATATATGTGTAATGTGTGTATATGTAAAGCGCTTTGAGTCATTGATAAAGCACTATAATAAATGTAAGGAATTATTATCACGCTGCAGCATGCGCTTCTTGATTCTAAACTGCTATTGAACGGTAATAAAACCAAATCAATGCTTTTTGCTCCCAAGTCAGCGTCCTCTTGCCTCTCCATTGACACCCTTGCTGTTGTCTCTGTTGAGTTTGTTGATACATACAAATATCTGGGCTTTTAGTTGGACAGAAATCTAAACTTTAAACACCACATTGAAGTTCTAACTAAGAAATTGAAATTCACTCTTGGCTTCCTTTACAGACTTAAACGTTGTTTTTCAACATCTTCCCGTAAAAGGTTGCTTATTCCTGTCTCAGCGTGACTACAGTGATACAATCTATAGATTTGCCTGTCCCACTGTTTTGGCCAAACATGACCCACTCTACCATGCTGCACTGCAATACATATCAAATGCACCCTATAGGACTCATCATTGCACACTGTATAGCCTAACTGGATGGTCCTCACTTAGTATGGGTAGGATGCAGCATTGGTTTTTATTATTGTATAAAGCCATTTTAGGTAAGCTTCCACTGTATATATGTGCCAGATTTGCTCCAGTTTGTGACTCTTACAACCTCAGACCCAGTGCCTGGATACGGTTCCAGGTTCCTGCCGTGTGGACTGAGGCTGGAAAAAGGAGTCTTTTTTATTATGGTCCTTGGTCTTGGAATGACCTTCAATCAAGCCTCAAACTGATGGCTCTTGTCCCTATAGCCTGTTTTAAATTGAAGGTGTCTGAGGTCCTTACCACCAGCTGCTCTTACAGTAATAAGTAGTGTACCTTTCTTACTGTCCCAAATGTGCACAATGAAGTGACTGCTTTTCGTCTTTTGTTGTGTTCTCTGTATTTTATATGTTTGTGTTATGTGTAAGAACATGTAACGTTGCTGCCTTCTTGGCCAGGTCAGCATTGTAAATGAGATTTGTCTCAATGTTTTCATCTGGTTAAATTAAGGTTAAATAAATCAAAACAATTTGTTATAAAACCATGGAAAGAGATGCACAATGCAAGTTAGAGACAGAATGACCAAAGAGAGAGGAGAAAATAGACGCAACAAGTCCACAAAGAAATGCAAAATGATGAGAAAGAGGCATGACGCCACAAAGAAGTGCTAAATTACTTCATAAAGAGGCAAAACAACTACAAAGAGACCCAGACAGACTCTAGATTGTTATACAGGGCGACTGCAAAGCGATAAAGACTCACAAGAGAACTTTGCTCCGATGAAGAAGGGACTTTTATGTCACTGTATCTCAGATTCTGTGCATGATGTGAAAGATTCAAATGTCTTTACATACTCCTATTTCGACTCAAGAGGGCAGCATTGTTGTTGTTTTTCATGCAGATGTAACACAGACAACTCTAAGAGAAGATTTGTTGGCCTTGATGCACAATTATCCAGTTTTTAAATAAGGTTATTGCTGGTTTTACTGCTGGTACTGGTAGTCTACATCCAGGGTGAGATACCGATTTGAGTCTACAGGGAGTGCATTAACCAGCCTTTACATAAATAGGGTTAGTTTAGTTTAATGTTCAAACTGTTCTTCATATAAAATAGTTTGCATTCAGTAGCTATGTTTTATTTCTCTGTCTCGAAGCTGAAGTGGATTTGAAATGAAAGTCACTCCCACCACCAAGAGCTGAAGATGCATGAAGTGACTGCTGTATGGGAGCTAATGTCGGCCTCATAGAGTCATACAAGAACCTCCCTCGTATGAAACAGCGTACAGAGTGCTGAGCTGTGACCTGACCTGAGGTTCTGATACTCACCACCGGCACAGACGCACAGAAACTACATGAGCCCCAGTCAGAGGGGAAGTGAAACTCAAATGTTCCCCTTTCCTAATACAGATGTTCAATTATATACATAGTCACTAAGAAAAAAAGGCCATCTTTAATGAGAGATTAATGTAAAACAGGATCTACAGTGTGACACTATGTGACTAGTACTGTGTTGCACATTTATTAACCAGGCAATACATTAAATGCATAGATCAGGGGTGTCTTGTACATTTTTAATTGACCCTCATCGAATTCTAAAAGTATAATGGAATATGGCCCACACCTGAAACTTCATCTTGTCTTATAATATACTTCTTCAATATATATGTTGACATATATTACATAGTAGTATTCATGTGGCAATAAACCCACTTTTCAAATACATTTAAGTTGAAAACATTTCCTAACAAATCTTAGTTGATAAAAAAAAGCCCAATAACTTATTTGCATAACAAGCTTGAAATATATACTTCATATTTCCCCTTATCTTAAGCAATCTGAGGCTTCTGTTTTAAGGAATGAGCTGCCAACACTTTTTATAACAAAATAAATGAAACCCTATGGAGAGCTGTGCGCTTTTTTACTTAAATCATATTCAGGTAACAAACATCATTTACATTTGATTGATTTAACTTATAACTTAATTTATGAGGCAAAATACCTCACCTCTAGTGAGTGGCCCAGCCCTTTGTATGTGTTTCTCTATGTGGCCCCTCATTGAGTTAAAATCATCCAGTCTTGACAGACCTGTTAGATATTAGATGTCTCTCTGTTGCATGGCATGCTGTGTCTCTATTCAGTGGATTTGATAACAAGAAGGGACATCCTAGTGAATCAAACACTCAGTGGATATTGAGTTCAATGTAGATCGATTTGCCAGCGGGGGAACTGTTAAACTGTTCATGAGATACTTCAGAAAGAAGTGGAAACAAGGAAAGATGTTTGCAAAGAAAAGAACGTACCTAGAAGAGCATTACCCTCACATTTCAGAGTGACTCTGAATGACCAAATGATGTTCAAGAGATGTTAAACCTTGACTAAAACTCACCTCAACTGCATTTTGGTTTCTCAAGGACAGGTGTCTGTGTGACGTGTGACATGTCATTTGCATGATTGTAATGCTTCACTGCTCCTCACAGTTTTAAGGGCTTGAGTCACGTAGAGTCTGAACCGTGTTCCTGCACTCATCCTGAGAACTGGAGATCATGTTGTCAGTAACTCTGCTTGTCATGTTGGGCTTTCTGTGTCAGGGTGAGAGACTTTGAAAATGTATCATCTGAAATGATAGGAGTAATGTATGTGTGGTTCAATGTGTGTCTTTGCTTTTCATGTTTGCATCCAATGTGCTTTGTCTTTAACTCTTTCTATTATCATTTAAACTGCTGCTCCATGTTGTTGGTTATCTAACATTTCACTTCTCATTTCAGAGTCTTCTGCCAACAATTTCCTGACTCAGACTGACTCATCCAAGTCTGTTAGTGCTGGAGGGACTGTGACCATCAGCGCTACAGGGAGCTCTAATATTGGTGCTGATCTCAGTTGGTATCTTCAGAAACCTGGACAGGCTCCTAAACTTCTTATATACAAAGCATCAACTCTGTTCTCTGGAACTGAGCCTAGATTCAGTGGTACTAGATCTGGTGCTCAGTACACTTTAACCATCAGTAACGTTAAGGATGTTGATGCAGGAGATTACTATTGTCTCGGTGCTCATGGTGGTGGCGTGTTCACACAGTGATTTAGAGCCGTACAAAAACCTCCTTCAGTCTGAAGTAAAGCGTCCTGCTGCAGCTGCAGAGGTGAAGAGACTGAGAGGAGGAGAACTGGTCCAGTGAACACAAGAGTCATCAAGCAGAACCACCATGAATCCAAATAAAGCTGAAACACACTCTCAGACACTCTTCAACACCCTGTTTAAACTATATTATTGTCACCCTGAACATTGAGCTGACAGGAACTTCACCAAACACTAACTCCATATTAACACTATGTTGAAAAATCAATTCTTAAAAGTCTAAATATCTACTCTCAGCTCAGATTAAAGGCTGATCTTATTTATGAGCCATAAACTTTCTGCCTCACTAAAAATCAAGTTCACATTAGGATCAAATTCTTAATCACGTTAAAACAGTGTAGTAACTTTCCTTCACCACCAGGTCAATTTCATTGCCAATTAAAAAATAAATATCCAAAGCTTTATCTTGTTCTGCTGATAGAAGTGCAGAATGTTATAAAACCTTTTAATGTCTCACTACTTTAAATAAAACACCAAACACTTCATCATGTTATTTATCAGAGAAAGCTTTATTAGGAACATCCTGAATCATCAACAAGACAGTTACTAAGCACACTCTCATCTCTGCTGAGCTTCACACATCACTCTCTAAGTTGCTGCTGTCCAACACTTTACAGCAGTGTTGTTCTCGGCCACACAAAGCTTCACTTTCCTCTACAAACATTAAAGCTCCTGATGATCAGAGCAGCATGTGTTCTCCTGGGCTCCAGCGGCCCCTCTAGCCCCCACACTGGCTCCTGTGGAGGGACTGGGTCTGGCTGTGGGCATGATGGAGGACCTTGCAGGAGTACAGCTCTCCTGACATCCAGCTCTCCTGGCTCAGGCTCAGGCTGCTGCTGCTGCTGTAGCGTCCGCTCTTCTCCTCCTCCGAGCTGCTCAGGACCCCCTCTGTCACCTGTGTGCCGTCCACCTCCCAGCTCACCACGGCTCCCTGAGGAGAGTAGCCGGTCAGCAGGCAGGCCAGCGTGAGCGAGCCCCCAGAGAGCTGCTCAGAGGAGGAGGGGGCCAGCAGAGAGACGGAGGGCCTGAGCATGGAGCCCGCTGCAGGGGAGAGAGACACAAGGAGCAGATGAACTTCCACTGAGGGACAGACGCTGTGAGACAGAGTCCATACAGGACACATTCAAACATTCAGAGGCTTTACTGTCATATGCACAGTAGCTGCAGTGAATCAGAACCAGAGTCAGAATACCTTTAGTAGTCCCTCAGAGGGGACATTCACGCTGTTACAGCAGAAAAGAGCCAGAGACAGCTTCATGTTACGTAGAAGCATGCATACAAAAGTATTCAAGTAAAAAAAAGTTATAATATAATACAAAATTAAATAAAAAGTTACACAATTTACAAAATATACCTCCTGTAACAGTTATGAGGATTTAGCAGCCAGGTATATATTGCACATATTGCACATATTGCACATATAGCACATAGGCGATGTAGATAAGGCAATGAAAAGCCCAAGGTTCCTCCAACAATGCAACATACAAATATGTAGGACATAAAACAATAAAACATTTAAAAAACATTCAAATAGTTCCAGAACAAACAGAACGAGGAAGGAAATGAGGGTTTAATAAATAAAATAAAATGTTAAACTTGACGTTTGGAGTCAGAGTGTTATTCTGTAGCTCTCATCAGAACAAGAATTATACATTGAAGGTACAGGACAGAGAAAGTGGGGGTCAGCTGTGAGCATGAGCTGTGATCACAAGAGGAGCTGAGGCATGGGAGAACACGAGGGTTTCATTCATAAAATCAAACGGTGATACTTTATATCATTCTGGCATTTAAAATAATGAATCTTCTTCTTTGGCACTCATCAAAACTCCTGAAGAGTTACATGAAAGTAAGCAACGTAATGAAGGTGTTCATGTAATGATCATTATATGAAAAGCTTTATCTCTGCTTTACAATGTTTCAGAATGAATAACTAATCTCTGAAATCCTTTACTGTTCAGAAAAACAAAAAGTAACATCTCATACAGTTGAAGACTTTGTCATCTGTTTGTTTCACTTCCTTTGAACTCTTTTAAACTAACGGACTGTGAACGCACCCTGCAGCGACTCTGAACGTACAAAAACACACTTTAATGTGTTTTAACGGATCCTCAGCAGATTTTATATGAAACACTTGTTGAATACTAAAATGTATAACAATTAAAAAGTAAATCACAATTAGATGTTATGACAGAGCAGCTGTTCTTTGGTCAAATGTGAGCTAAAAATGTTTTTATATCTTATTAAAAAATAAAAGTAAAACGTACATATAATTCACCGTAACATCTTCTTTAATATTACAATAAAACTAACTTCGCTTAATGTTATTCAATTCTTCAGCCAAGCTTTATAGATTTAAAAAATATCAACATAATGTAAATTATCCAAAATAATTTCTTGATTTATCAAATTCTGATGTAAAAGTAAATGTAATGTTTTCTGTGTTAGAAAATACAAATCTCTGGTACTTACAGTGAACGATGAGTTTGGTTCCTCCACCAAAAGTCCACCACAGTGATACAAACTCATTGAGTGGCCGTACAAAAACCTCCTGCACTGTCAGCAAGCATGTATCACTGAGAAAGCTCCCTGATCTCACTGATAACAGAGACACATATACAGTTTTTAAATCAACAAAGCTTTTCTAAAGATATGGATTACATCTCTGGAAGAATTAAGATGATTTATGTCATTTCTCATCACTTTTCTACACCTGGCAGAGAAACCATTACAGTCTTCTACACAACTAACTTTGTCAGTTTTATATTAGTTTCTACACGGTTAAATGAACACGAGGCTTTTCAATAATAGTTATTAACAAATGTATTTGAAACAGAACTGAAACATGTTATTGATCTACAGTGAATCTCTGTATGTATGTTAATGTCAGACAAACAGACATATCATACCAACCACAGTGGACACAAACTCAAATCCTCATCTCCACTCCTGATATAAATATGTTCTTCCATTCAGATGATAGACGGTGTAAATCCGTGTCCCACGTTGCCTTCAGTGTGCTGAGAGCAGAGACATCATTTCCATAGAGAGGAGGCTTTGCATGGTCAGCTGATCCTCCAGTGAACTGAGAAGGTTTATAGTCCTGTGAGTTCAACACTGCAGGACTCACATGTGTCAGTCAGCAGAAAGCACCATGACTCTCATCACCATCCTCATCTGGACGCTGGCCTGCTGCTGTTTCACAGGTTCATTCACTCAGCAACATTTCAAACATCATGTGCTGCCTTTCCTCTCCTTTCTTTCTGCTGAGAAATCAATGATCTGTTTCTGTGTGCAGGATGCAGCGGTCAGACTGTGACTGTGACTCAGCCTGCAGTCGAGACGTCTGCTCCAGGATCCACCGTCACTCTCACCTGTAAAACCAACAAAAATGTTCACAGTAATAATTGTATGTTCTGGTATCAACAGAAATCTGGACAGCCTCCAAAGCTCCTGATAAGATATGTGAGCACATGTGAATCAGGAACAGAACCTCGGTTTAGTGGCAGTGGAAGCGGCTCTGACTTCTCTATGACCATCACTGGACTGAAGGCTGAAGATGCAGCAGTTTATTACTGTCAGAGTCACCATGGTGGTTACGTGTTCACACAGTGATTTGTCGTCGTACAAAAACCTCCCTCAGTCAGACTGCAGAGACTCTGAGCTGTTACAGCAGGAACCACCTGCAGCTGCTGAAGAGGAAGAGACTGACACAGCCCACTGAACTCAGAGCTGACAGGAACCCACCCAGCACTATTCACTTCTTAATCTTAAATATACATAATCTTACTACTCATTGAGATTAAACCCAGTTAAAAACACATTATATGTAAAAGCAGCATTACACACAAACCTTATTGTGATCTCTGCTTCCCCGAATTAAAACAACAAACGCTCTTTAGCTTTTCCCCACATGTCTCCACTCGGTGTGCTTCACAGCAGGAGCATCTCTGGCCTCTCTGGAGTTATTATTTCATCATTATTATAAAGATCCTGATTCAAAATGACAAAGATCAATCTAATGAAGTCTTTAAAATGTTAAACGGTGGCTGATTAAAACCCTCTTATTCACATCAATCAATGAACTTATCCATTAGTTAACCTCAAATTCACATCTTAGTTAAAAACTTCAGGTTTTCTAAAAACCAGTTTCATTGAAGTTTCCTGAAATGTTTTTTTGTTCCATTATTGAAACCAAAAACAGCAGGAACATCCAAGAGACGTTGAGTTTGAACATGATTTGACCCCTGACCCCCCCTGAGACCACCAGTGCAAAGCAGAGGCTTTAGGACGAGCAGACGTACATCACAATCACAATCAAGTTTATTACCAGATACTTTGACACATACAAGGAATTAGCTTTGGTGTCTGGTGGTACGAACATAAACAATCTAAGAAAATAAGTTGCCATAGTAGGTAAAAAATATAAAGATAATATTAAGAAGTATTTACGACACATTTAAATTTAAAGGACCTTAAAAGCTAAAAAACTAAAATACTTAGGACAATGAATATGTGACAATATATGGCAAACTACAGTACATTATATTTAAAGTGGAGGGCTGTGCAGACATGTGTGCAAACATGTGTAAAATGCAGTCAGAGTTGAGCATGAACATGGCTCACAGAATTAAGAAAGGAAAAAGAACAAGGTGTTGTTCACATGATGTGCAATAATGTAATTCTGTGTGACTGGCGAAGCCACACACAGTCTACTATTCAACATACTTATTAGTACAAATGCTGTTCAACTATTGTTCTTCAAATCTTTATTCTTCCGCATCTTATTATTGTGCTTTCTTCCTGTATGTTCCTGCCTGTGTACATGACATAAACTGCTCACAACCAATTGCCCCTTGCAGGATTAATAAAGTTGTTGATTGATTGATTATTTCAACCAGATTTCACCGTCTAACTACTTCAGCATACTTTCAGCTAGAGACCATTCAAATATTAAAATGTTCAGCTCCTTCAGGACACTTTTCTTGTTTTTGACATTTATACTTTTTAAAATATACTGCTTTTTAAACTTTTATTTTGGGAGTATCCTTCAAATCCTCTTTTACCTACACCGTGTTTAAAATGCTGCTCCTTCAGCAGACTTTCAGCTACAGACTTCATTCCTACTTTGAAACGGTCACAAAACATTCAGTTATCACATTTGTATTCAGCTTTTTGATATCTTTTAGAGTTTCTAACTCATCAACGTTTAAGTTTTATATAATGGTTGTCTATGGGATGGACTCTTCAGGGCTAGAGTGCGTGACATCCTCACTTATGGCGCGTTTCCACTGCAGCGGGTAGCCCCGTTTAAGCGTCCTTAACCGTCCTCAAGCGGCCAGGCCGGTTTTTGGTGGCGTTTCCATATAGCCTAGTACCGGCCAGCGGGTACTTTTTCCCTCTTTTTCCGGCCTCATAAAATCGTGGTTCCCTCAGACAAGGGCCAGGGCTGAACTAGTGACGTCAACACTCTCGACTGCTGATTGGTCAGAGAGAATGGTCACAAGATTGCGCGCGAGTTCATCCCTAGCGTCGCATATATATCTAGAAGCAAGCTTGCAGCATTTTTATAAACAGCATTTTGTAAACGGATGAGCTACAAAAATGGCTACGTCTAATAAGAAAAGCACACCGTGGTCGACCGAGGAGGTGACGACGTTCCTACATCTCATTGGGGATGATCAAATCCAGCGGGAGCTCGACGGAACAACTCGAAATGTGAACAAAAACAAAGCCGATCGCCCCACCTACACTGCGTTGCTACCCCAGGTCCTAAACTGTAATGGAAATGCGCCACGGCCTGGGCCGGCCAGCGAGGCAGCCCGAGGCCAGAGCGAGGACGCTTAGGGACGCTTAAACGGGGCTACCCCGCTGCAGTGGAAACGCGCCATTAGAGTGCTGAGGGTGGTGCAGCTGCCTGGTTTGGCAACCCCACTATAACTATGTCCAAGATAGTCGTACTGTCACCAAAATCACACTGGTGCTTGTTTTTTCCATCTTATCGGAGAAGGATAATATGGAAACCTCATATTTTAATTGGCAGACTTCTAGAACAATTTGAAATAAGCAATAATCTTATGGACTTGATTCTTGATTTTTTAACCAATAGGACACAAAGAGTGTGCGTGAATGGGACCTTATCTGATCAAGTCAGCTCCTCCACTGGCTACCCCACAAGGATGTATCCTTTCGCCACTATTATTTATACTTAACACTAATATGTGTCAAAGTAGGTGGGAAAATAGGACTATTTTAAAGTATACAGATGACTCTGTAATTGTTAGTGGGCTCCAGGACAATGAGACCAGCCACGGCCCTGTCTTTGACGACTTTGTCAGGTGGTGTGAGGAGTCCTATCTACAACTGAACATAAGCAAAACCAAGGATATGATCATTGATTTTAGAAGACATCCCCACATACATGAAGTCTTAACAATCGCAAATCAGAAAGTAGAATTAGTGCAATCATACAAATATCTGGGGACAATTATTGACTCAAAATTGAGCTCTGATCCAAAATGTGAAGCTGTGTGAAAAGGGGGCACCAGCGTTTGTACTGTCTTAGGAAACTGTCCTATTTAACATTGACAAAACCATGATGATTGTTGGGGAAATATTTTCCAAGGTCCATGACTTTGACCCAGTTTATCAGTTCAAACTGTCCTGACTGAGCACACGCACCTGTAACCTTGGCTGCTGTGCTCTCAGTGTTCTGTCTCCCTGTTCCTGCCTGTTGACGTCAGCTGATAGAGGTGTTATGATTCTATCTTGTTATGCACAATGTTGATTATTCTCTCTGAACTAGCTAAATACATGGGTCTGGCCGCAGGCACGGCTGCAGTGCACGCAGGGAGTGGAAGCAGAGCGCTGAACACTCACGGCTCTTATTAAAACGGCGCTTTCTCACCGGAGTACTTGTCCCCGTCATTCTTAAAGTACCGACACTAATGAAACGGAGGAATCGTACCGTTTTTAACGGCAGGGTATCGCGGTACCTTTCAAGTATCGGTACACCGTGCAACACTAGTCTGGGGTAGAGTTCTTCAGAATTGACGTGGCAACTCTCCCGTGCAGTCAGACCATGGCTGCTGTGACTTGTGATGTGAATCCTCCGGCCGAACCTCCTAAATAAACCATCAGTGTTTGACATCAAAGCTCCTGCTCTTCCCGTGTCTCTTTCCTGAGTCGGTGACTCCCACTGCATTGCTACACAGAAGTTTCCCTTACAATGATCATATTTTATCGTGCTTTTATCAAGTCGATTCTGTCTTTTTCATTCATGTCATGGTTTGGTAACCTGACTTTAAAGAGCAGAAACTCTCTGAGTCAGATCATCAAGTGGTCCAGCAGACTGATTGGTGAGCCACAGCTAAACCTGGAGACCCTGTACCTCAGGCAGTTACAGCGGTTATCCAGCTCCATATGAGACGATGACTCCCACCCTCTGCACTCAGAATTTAAGCTTCTTCCTTTGGGCCGGAGGTTACTTGTCCCAAAGAGTAGACCGAAGCGGTATAAAAACAGTTTTATCCCAGCAGCTATTGCACAAATTAACACATCATAGGAGTGTCACACAGATGCCAATTTATGTATTTAATTTTGAATTTTGAATGTCTATGTTTATACTAGAGTTTGTACTTGTGTTTTTCTTATTAAATGTTTTTGAGATTTGACGGAGCAGGGTGTACTTGTTATTTATCCTTTTATTATAGATATGTCTGTTGTTTGTGTTTGTTTTTAGAGTGTGTCAGGATGGATCCATTGTCCTTTTTTCTGCAAACAAAATCTACCTACGGGTACAAATAAAGAACCTGAACCTGAAGGTTTTTCATCTTCTGTCTAATATTATGTTGGTGTCTCGTTTCGGTCATAACGCCATTTGCTGGTTTCAGAATTATCTAACCGACCGTACTCAATGCGTCAGGTTGGGTAGTACTGTCTCTGAGCCTTTCACCTTGGAGAAGGGAGTTCCACAGGGCTCTAATTTGGGGCCCTTGCTCTTTTTATTATACATA